AATTACATTGTTTATAAATTAATCTGAGGGCCGCAAAAAGAGGAGGTGGGGGCCGCATGCTGCCCCCGGGCCGCCATTTGCCCATCCCTGCACTACAGGAAAGGGAAAACGCCCAAAAGTTGAAAGGGCCTCTTTAAAAAGCTTGAAAAACTCACTAAATAGCGCAAACACATTGCTTATCTCAGTCATCACACAATGGTTGATCAAAACACGCATTTATTCACAGTTTCTTTCTGTGATTTTCTGAAATATTTGGTTAACATGTGTCATGCATCTGGATGGGAACCTGGCTAGTGTGTCCTTGAGCGTGTCATTAAAACCGTTTTTGTTCAGAGTTACCTGTAAGGCAGATCCTATTTAACTACTTTACTCTTGCAGAACAAATATCTGCAGTGATATTTGGAGAGTGCCTCACCAGGAACAACACTTTAGAGGAAAGGTTAACGGAGCGAGCAGAACATGCAGAAAGAGAACGGCGACAGAAACAAAGCAGCAGAGTGTGACGGAGGGATTCGTGTGCTTTTTTCTGTGTGTTTAGGGAGTGAGCGCTCTGCTCGGTTAACAGGCGTGAGAAGGAGGACGCTCTGTAATAGCCCTGGAGGTAAAATCCCACCCCGAGGCTATACAGCAGAGGATTCTGAAACGCTCCCCCGGCAAATACAACACACAGCTGCAGGATGAAGGTACGGTGTGGGGACCGGCTTTTTCTCTTCTGCAGGTTTTTAACGAACAGAATTCCCTGAAAATATACCCAACATGTTTCTCTTAGCCTTGCATGAACCTTCAAAGAAAGACGTGCACTCCTGTTGATATCAGAGCGGGTATAAAGATAGGCTGTGAGTGGGCAGAACACAACACCTACACACCACTACACACACACACACACACACACACACACACACACACACACACACACACACACACACACACACACACACACACACACACACACACACACACACACACACACACACACACACACACACACACACACACACACTACACACACACACACACACACACACAACACAACAACACACACACACACACACACACACACTCTCTCGTCTCTCACACACACACACACACACACACACACACACACACACACACACACACACACACACACACACACACACACACACACACACACACACTCTTTCATGTCTTGTGTTATTGACAACTCCTTTCGCTCTAACACACTCCTGCTCGTCCTCGGGTCACAAAACTAAGCTTTCTCTCTGATTGGCCGGCTGTGGTCGCAGGTTGGTTTGCTGACAACTGATTGGCCGGTAGCTGTTCTGATGCAAACATGTCATATTGAGTCAGAGCAGCTTTCAGATTTTCGTATTTTAAGGTCTCAGTTTTCTGCTTTGAGTCTCCTTACTACTTCCTGCAGAGCTCAGCATTTAAAGCATGTGGACTCCTTTTGATAGAAACCTTTCCTGATTTGCTCTCGCTGAAACTTCCAGACCGAACGGCCTTTTGATTTTCATGTTGAGTTGTTCAGGCAATCACATCGGGTTTTCTTTTTAAACGTGTACGTCTTTATATCCTGCTGTTTCTCTGCTGAGATTTTGGGATCAGATCTCGGCAGGTAGAGGTGATCACGACTGTAGGAACATAGTTTGGACTCCTTACTTCCTCCTGAGTGCAGAGGTGATGATTTTAAAGCACCAACACGTACATTTGCACGATAGCTTTCTTGAAATGGAACGGAAAAGTCTTCATCATTTCTAGTCCTTCTTCCTTTTAACTAAGTTGCATCTATTGCACTGTTAATGTGTGTTAATTTAAGCGTTTTACTTTACCTTGCAAAAACATTTTATTTCTATTTCTAATTTATTGTATGTTTCATTGTTGGAGCCTGGGTCTTCAGATTTCTATTTCCAGAACAACACTGTAGCTAGTCTGCCCAGTGTTTCCGCCAGACCAGGGCTGAGAGGGCGTCCACCCCGAGAGCGGGGGGGGTGGTGTGTGTGACGTCACATCGTGTCACGTGACTTGAATTTTGAATTGAGCCGTCCCTTATAGATACTATCTCTTTACGTATTAGTGATGGGAATTCCGGATCATTTGGCTCGGCTCACTAAGAAGAGCCGGCTCCTAAACGGCTCTTCATGTTACCACAGTTTACCACGGAGCCTCAGTTTCGCCGCTGCGAGGCTCCGGCGCTCGCAGTTCACGCGTATGCTCAACTAGCACCCCCCGTCAAGGCTCGCCGGCAGTACACTTTCCGTCACAGGAACACGCTTTGCTGGCGGCGAAAATGATTCCACCAGACTCCTTTGCCCCTCCAACAGAGGGACGTCCTTGTCCTTTTTCCTTTTTCGTCATTTCAAGCGATAAAAACTCGATCTTCTCCCGAATTATAATTTCTTTTTTCAAATGACGGCAAGACGCCCCCCTGGCGGAAACGCTGGTTCTGCCCATGTCTACAGCCTTTAAATCTTTATTTCATTGTCTTGTTGATATTGTGTCCTTCAGGTTCTGTGGCACCTCGATATCTTCAGACGTAGTTTCCGTCAGCTCACCACTCACAAGTGCATGGAGGACTCGTGCATTTTCTGTGCTCTGAAGGTGAGAATCCTTAAGAACCCTAAAACTGACCCCAGAGCAGCTTCCTGTCTCTAACTCCCTCTCTGTCTCTTTGTCTGTATCTTTAGAGCATCTTTTCCCAGTTTCAGTACAGCAGTGAGAAAGTATTACCGTCCGACGCTCTGCGCAGTGCGCTTGCCAAAACCTTCCAGGACGAGCAGAGGTTTCAGATGGGCATCATGGACGACGCTGCAGAGTGCTTTGTAAGACCACCCTGTAAAATCACTCAGGGGGGAATTCCTTTAAGGGTTGTGCATCCGCTTAACCTGCAAACATTTGAGAAAAAGACATTTCCTGTAACGTCACATTGAGGTGTTTTGGTGTAACCAGATGTAATGTTTCTGTTCCTGCAGGAGAACATCTTGATGAGGATTCACTTCCACATCTCAGACGAGACCAAAGAAGACATCTGCACCGCCCGACACTGCATCCCCCACCAGAAGTTCGCCATGACGCTTTACGAACAGGTGAGATGGAGACCAACCAACCATTGCATCATCATCATCATCATCATCATCATTACCCATTCATCTGGTTTAATACATCTATTAGTGTTACATCTCTAT